GTCATCTATTAAAAAACCGTGAAAAGCAACACGATCACTGAAAAGTTTCATCTTAAATTCATAATAAAAAAGCCTTAGATTGTTAAAGTTCGAGCCTACCCAGGCCTTAAACTTTCAAAATTTGAGCCTACCCAAGCCTACCCAACTTCAATCTAGGGTAGGCTTGTGCCTACCCAAGCATAATGGCTCCGCCGCCTATGAATCTGATAGAAGAAAGTGAGACATCTTCCAGTATTTTCCGATGAATTTTCGTGGAAATATAAGCATTACCGCAATACCCTGATGGCGCAGTACCCTGAAAAAAGTGACCTGTGTACGAAATGTGTTTTTCTTCATATGTGTCTTTTTGATAGTCTCTTCGATCCAGTCATATAACGACTCCTCGAAAAAATGATCCGATTGAGCTGAGATTTTAACCATAGATACGTTAAATTCTATCTCAGATTCAAAATTTTTTTAAGCATTTTAGATTCAACCTTCGATGTAAGAAACTTTTAAAAAATTAAAAAAGCGATTTTTTATATAGAATTTTTAGTATTTTTTGAATACCTCGAGAAGGAAAGCATATTTTTCGGAAAAAAAGTTCTAATCTGAAATAGGATCTGAAGTATCTGTGGTAAAAATTTCAGCTCAATTGGATCATTGTTTTGAGCGGTCGTAATGTGGCTGGATGAAAACTGGAGTTTTCTAGAAAATTCATAGAAGAACATGTCAGAAAATTCTGAGCAAAAATACATGGATTTTGTTTTTCGATGTTCTATCTGTAGAATAAATTTTAGCTCGATCGGATATCGTATTTCCCTGTTTCCTAGGGAGTCAAAAAACGAGGGAGAGAGTGGTACCCTTAACGAGATTAGCAAATTCAAGTAACAGTTGTTTATAGTATGGTGTTGGTTTTTAGTGGAGAAGACTATAATAAGGGGTGTTGCAAAAGTTCTGCATTAATTTTGGTTTTGATATAGCGTTGCAATGGAACATTGTAGAGACTTTATCCTTTTTTTGTTAGAAAGAGCAAAGTATCTAGTACAAAAATATATAAAAGTGTTTGATCGGAAATGTTTTCAGAAGGTCAGAAAAATGTTCGAACAAAAGGCATCGGGAAATTTTTCCGCAACTTCGGTCACAATTCTTGTATCCAAATATATTTGTTTGACCTTTTTCATTACCCATTTTTGATGTTTTCGAGCACCACATATATGAAGTTGTTCATTACTTTCGTATGATATTAAAAAAATTGCCCTTGAGAACAAGAGACTGAACAGAAGACCCTTTGATTAAAAACTCAATCTGGTGTTTACAACGCGAAAGCAACTTTTTGTCCCAATGTCTCACAGAGCAGCAGTGTTCTATTCCAAATAATATCGCTTGGTAGAGGACTCAATAAGCTTTCTTTTCCATGTAAAGTATATAGTTTCGAGCAACTTCTCTCCACGAGTAGAATTTTTTTTCGACTGCGATCGACAGTGATGAAAAATCGGTGGTAAAATAGGACATTATAAAAGCGCTCATTTCGACCGTTCTAAAACAGAAAGAAAAAAATCTTTTTTCCCGCAACAGCACCCTGTCCTACTATTATAAAGCTCGGAGTTATACGGATAAAAAAAGATAAACTTTCTTATTGGGCGACATTTTTTCCAAATTCGAAAAAGTTACGGAACAGTTTCACGATGCCTTTTGTTCGAACATTTTTCTGACCTTCGAAAAACATTTCCGATCAAACACTTTTATATATTTGTTTTAATCTCGTTTATTGATGTAAAAAAAAAAGTAGAAAAACCAAAACATACAACCCACAAAACCGGATCGAGGATCCATATACATGGGGTCACCGTAAAAAAAAAAAAAAAAGAAGAAACAAACCCTTAACTGTTATAGATTCGCTAACCCATACTAAATACTTTTATATATTTTTGTACTAGACACTTTGCTCTGTCTAACAAAAAAAGGATAAAGTCTCTACGATGTTCCATTGCAACGCTATATCAAAATCAAAATTAATGCAGAGCTTTTGCACCACCCGTTAATTAAAATAATGTTACGTGCATTTTTTGCTTGCGCTTCATGTTCAGCAATGCCATTAATTGCGCTATATCACTCATAATGGACATACTCAAGATATTTTTCTTACTACTTTTGATCGTGAATTAACAAATTTTTAATGGTAAATGACATTTTAATTATTAGCATAATGGTGAACAAAAGTATACGTCATAAACGGTGTAAATATTTAAATATTTACAACATTATCAATGTTGAATCAATCTTTAAATTATTGAATAATTGATAAAAAGGTATAAGTCATAAACAAAAATTCTATAATGACGACGATAAATACAACAAACATATGTTTTTACCAGTCAAAGAGGACAGTAATAACAATTGTAAAGTAAAAAAATATGTTCAGACACTAAATAATCTGTTAGTCCTTCATTAACAAAAAGAATTTTAATTCGAAGAGGTACTTAATCAGTGTAAAAATATTTTATGTTTTCTGCAATATTGACTGCCTGTGTACAGGATTACATTTGCAATAATAACTGTGATTGGTATGACTCATCACTACCAAAAATATCGTTAAATTCTTTAAACGTTGTCGGATAATTAAAGTGTTGTACAAAGCAATTCGAATGTTACGTGTCAATTCGTATAAACAGCAATATAATCAGTGAGACTCAGCTCTGTATGTACTGACGTTTGTTTCGAAGATATTACGTTTGTAATGTAATCATTTCTACCAATGTATTCATTCTGTGAATGTTTACTGATGAAACCAGGCGGTGAAGAGATTTTAACTCGTCTGTTGAGAGATCAATAAAAATTTTTAAACTTCGATGTTAATCTTATGTTTCAAGACTCTTAATAAAAAATCTCTTAACAAATCGAACTCCTTTAACATCAATACTATTGTTTCCTTAACATTGAACTACATCACTATATCCTTTTTTTCCAAGATACTTCATTCTTTACAAAGATTTCGAAAGTGGTTTCAGACAGAAATAATGAATAATTATTTATGATCAAGAAGAAATAAACGCACATACAATAAAATAAAAACATTTTCTATCGTTTACAAAATTGTACACTATACACATTTGATAAATATTCTCAACAAGGTAAATAGAATTTAAAACTAACAATGTTAAATCAAGACGCAGTTGGAGAATTTGCAGTTGTCGAAGTTATTGTTAATGGTCTTTTTTCGTACTTTTTCAATTGTGTTTCTAGAAAAACCCTAACAAATGTATATTATCATAAATTCTAATAAAAAAATATGCAAGATGTACCTAATGATCTTGAATAAGCATCTAAATGCATTATAGTAGATTCTAAATTTGACATCGAATCTTCGATTTCATTCAATACTGACGCTGTTGCTTGCAAACGATTACCTTAAAAAAAGAATATTTTTGCTTATACTTACAAGGGAACGTTTTCAGGTGCCCACCTCCGATTTCAATGATCCTTTTGCAGATAGATAGAGTATAGCGTAGTAGCGAAAACTCTAAACGGATTTGTGCTCTTATTGCTTTCCTCGAAAGTTATAGCGGTTTTTCTAGTTTTCCCAGCGAAAATACGCAAAAATTAAAGAATTTGTAACTGAGTAAGAACACGTTATGGAGGGCTGAAAGTTTTTTCTATAATTCTTTCATGTCTTTGATACCCACAAAAAAATTTTAGCATTTCAGCTTGGTTTGTTCCCGGCTTATAGAATTTCTAAGTTTTTCATAAATTCGCCTACAATTTGAATACAACAGTCATAAATTTTTTATTCAAATTGTTGAAACTTTCAGAACTAAGATGATTTCGAGTGATAAAAATAACGAAATAATCAAAACATTGGGTTTCAGTCGATGTCCGATTAGTGGGTTTCCAGAGACCTCCTAAAAAACATGCGGTGTGGAACATCGAAATTGTAGCATTTTAATTATTTCATCATTTTATCACTCGAAATTATCTTAGTTCTGAAAGTTTCAACAATTTGAATAAAAAATTTATGACTGTTGTATTCAAATTGTAGGCGAATCTATGAAAAACTTGAAAATTCTATAAGTCGGGAACAAACGAAACTGAAATCAGTTACAAATTCTTTAATTTTTGCGTATTTTCGTTGGGAAAACTAGAAAAACTGCTATAACTTTTGAGGAAAGCGATAAGAGCACAAATCCGCTTAGAGTTTTCGCTACCTCGCTATACTCTATCTATTCGCAAAAGAATCATTGAAATCGGAGGTGGGCACCTGTAAACGTTCTCTCGTTAGCTCAAAACAGAATAAATTACACGTACAATTTGCTTCATTCATTGACTTTAAATTTTCATTTGCATGTTGTAGTGTTCGGTGCATAACACGATAACGATCTAATGCGGAGTTATTCATTTGTGTTAAACATTCGTAATCACTAGTAACTACTATAATACAAAAACAAAGACAATTTAATGCAGTCAATGTTAAGAAAAACATAAGATAGTACACTTACACTTCATTTCTGATCGAAAATAGTCATCAGCTGATTTTAGAAACTTTTCAGCAATTTTTTCACTATTCTTTTCACTTTTATCAGACATTTATGCATTCATTTTAACATAAGTCTCTGAAATATTATAAGAGCAACTACTCTATAAAATGAAATATTATAAGAGCAATGTACTAACTAAACAACATCTACTGCAACTAATTCACGGATAACAGGCATTAGCCTAATCAAAGCTTTGTTCAATCATCCTCAAACAAAAAAATGTGGATACATATTGAGACTATCGTTTAATAACAACATATTTTGCTGTCCTAATAAGATGAGGGAAAATAACAAAAAATGAATAAAACTTTCCAGATAGTTACAAGTAGACGCTCTATCGCAATATCTAGACAGAATAGATGTTAAATTATTTTATTTTTTTATTATCACAAAGCGAACGTACATATGAAAATGGGTAAAAGCTAGTACATTTGTATCTTTGTAGTGATATTGACACAGAGGAAAAGAAAAGTACACAACAAAAACAAAAAAATAATGATGAAAATAATATTAACAACAAAGGAGAAAAAACATTTAGTACTGGAATAAAGATAAGTTGTTTACAAACAAAAACGAATAATAAATACAAAAACAGGATAAAATTAAGAATTATACAACAGAAGGACGGCGGCAGGCTTTTCTACTAAATAAACAGTAACAACAAGAACAACAAAAAACAGAGGAAAAAATAACAACATGTAGATTTCACTGCTATATATTAAAAAAAAGCAGTATTATCCCAAATTAATTGACAAAAAAAACATCAATTGGCAGCACCAGGGTTCCCAGCTGAGGCGTCAAATCAATTTCAGTGGAGCAGAAAAACGCGTTGACCATGACGTCTCAGCTGGAAACCCTGACTAGCACTCATCCTCGGCTGTTAACAAAAGTGTTTGCTGACTAGACTGAAGACACATTATGTTAAAGAGTGTATACCAGCAAAAAGCTAAAAGGATCTACATGGCTGAAATTCGTTAGTATATACACTGTTATTTCGTTTTTACAGCACTGAAATAGCAAGAAACGGTTAGATGTTCAACAAAACTGTGCAAAAAACAAAATCTTTGTCCCTGGAAAATGGTATGCTTCTACGCATAAAAGCATGGACTAAAATAGCGACTACAAAAAGGAAACTAATTCTGTGAAGAAAATTTAAACACACCGGTTTACTACACACTGTAATCGAACAGTAAATAGTTTTACTATGATAGAGATGTACAAAATTTTTGATAGTTGCACAATATATCTGATTATCGATAAAAAGAAAAAAATGACAGATTCATTCAGGAATAGATGATGTCGTTGTGGTAGTAGTGGCTGATTCGAGTGGATTGACTGATCCTGATAGCTGCATCACTTTCTTATTTGTTCTTTGAAACATTTCACGTTCATATCTTCTTACTTCATTCATTGACATATCGTACCATTCATCCATCCACGTAAATGCTTGGCGATGAGCTAATACTAATATATCACGGATAGTCTAAAATATGCATAACAATCATATTACATTCCTTCGACTCAAATTATCGTACATATTGATGACATACCCGCTGCATGTAATCTTCTGCTCGAGTTTGCATTCCCCATACTTCAAATCGAACACGAACAATTTTATATGCACACATAATGGGCTTGAATATTTGCTAAAAAACGGATATAAGAGTAGCACAAACAATATGCCAAACGAAGAGCACATATTTATTTGTTTTAATAAACTGCCTATCTAAAATACTTACTGTCCAATTTGATGTCAATGGTCCTCGTCCTGTTTTATTTGACTTGAATTTACATGGATCCTTGAAAAAATCAAATATCAACTATAATATTCATCTTTTACACAGATTTTCGTCATACTTCAGATAATTTGTATTTATGTTCGGGAACACGTTCAACAGCAATATCTAAATATTCTAATTTACGACTTTGTACTTCTTCTTTTGATAGATTATGACACTAAAATCAGAAGAAAGAACATTCTTTCTTCCTTCTATCATTCTAAATGAATTAATCTTACATTATCGTTTGTTCCATTATTATCTTCATATTTTGTTTCAACAATAATTGAAAAACGTGGCAAAAATGAACACTAAAAACAAACAAATTAACAATTTATTATTCTAGAAGAGAAGTATGAATAAATATCAGAGCACTATCAATTCAAGCACATATCGAAAAAAATTAATTACATTTTTCACGAGAAAAGCTTAAGTTAAAAAGTGCAATTAAAAACCAAAGGAGAAGTTTGTATAGAAGACATTTCTAAATAAGCACCAATAGAGAACAATACACATATACACACCACAAACAATATACAAAAAACAGTTAAGAAAAGAGATAGGATATGTTACATCGATTTTTGAGAAAGTTATTTTAACCATTAAAGAGAAACTAATATTTGCCAGTGTGAAACAGTTTAAAAGAAATGCTGATCAGAATCTGCATCTGAAACATACAGTGATCGTGTAAAATAAATAGATTCTAATCATTATTTTCAAAAGAATCATTAACACTTTCGAAAAACTAAGAGTAATTTGAACCTTCAATTTATAGGATTGCTTACCATTTTTAGATCAACAAATGATTACAGATGCGAGCTTGCAGATTGAGCGTAATTAGACGAATTCATGAATCCCATTTGAAATGTGTGTATGTATTATTATTGAAGTTATAACTAATTATCTGTGGATTGTGAAGTATTCTTCCTTCTGATTATAATAGAAATCTGTTATACATTTTTAATATTAGTAATGCAAGAACCAATGGCAAAGTATAATTATACTACATTTACATAGATATCTAGCTGAATGAAACCTATTCAAATAATGATGTTAGTGAGAAATAAGGACAGTTAAAAATCAATATATAAAGAAGAAAAGAAAAACATCAAGCATATATGAAAACACATCAAACAAATACCACTTCTACTTTTTTCATGGTACTTACAGTATATTCTGGAAATAAAACAAAATTTTTGTTAAAAATAGTTGTGCAGTATACTAGTAGAAAACAAGAGTCTACAGTGTAGACAAAACATATTCTTATTTAGTTTGAACAAATCTACTTAAATAATATATTTCTACAGATTATTCTACTGAAGACTGAACAGAACAATTTAAAATTCTGAATAATTATACAATTTTTGTTTTTAATCTTTGCTTAAAAACATACCGGTTAGTGTATATGGATAATAATTCCAAGCTTTCTCCGTAATATAAAACAGATTTGGTATAAATGATCGAATCCAACTCGGTAAACGACTAAAATAAACGAAACAAAAATTTTCCTATTCAGTATGGTTTTAAGATTAGAATACACTCAACAACAACAGTTTTTAGTATTTAATAGTAAAGTATTATTCACCTAGATAAATACAATCTTTTTTCAGTATATTGACCATTTCCATACTGTTCATCATGACACGATTCGTTTTTAATAACTTCTACACCTTCATTCCTTGTACTTTCTTCTTCACAATGTTTGCATATCATGTACAACTGGCCAACGCGATACTGAGAATACACAAATAACGGACATTGTTTACTTGCTTACAAAAAAATATATATCAATCGCTTACTTCTTCCACAGTCAACGGTAAACATATTCGATATTCTTGCAGCAGCATCTACAATCATAAAACTAATACAGGACAAAAGTACAAGTGTTTCTATGTTGCTATGCAGATATACAAATGATTAGTTTTCTGGTTAAATATAAGTCTAATTTTCGATTTATTAATTTAGTACTTTACTTTAATACAAATCTTCATTCATGAACTTTTTACCAACTTTAGAGCAAAGATCTTTTTGTTGTAACATAAACGAAATCAATATTAGCAAGCATTTTAATATCGAGAGTTCAGTAGAGTTTTCCAAAAACTAATAACCCTTTTCCTTGTTTGAGTAACTATAGCCGGACTAACTTCTATCCTCCCTTCCTAAACATCTGTCTTTCGAAAAAAAATATGTTAGCGATTTTTTAAAATTATATTACCGTCGTACTAACCTATGACTAATCAATATCAAACAGCTCGCAAAAACACATGCAATTAGCATGTAATTTAGATAATTAGATAGTTTTAAGATATTTACTTATTAGTGTTCATCATTACACATTATATAGTTAATTTATTATCTTATCTGTTTGCTCTTATCGCTTTTGCTCCGTAAATTCAAAACAGAGCATTTTTTTGTGTAAAACTACTGGCAAAAAATTAGTAGTATGATGTAAGCATGTTAGGAAACAAAACACAAAATGCTTGAGCGTTCTTTTATCTTTCTTTTCTTCAGCTAATTTATACTGATTCATATATATAAGTGATAATGAAGTATTATTAAAATGACAAGTCATTGTAAATTAACTTCAGAGAGAAAATCGCGACTTGGACCAATCAGAACACAATAAGCATTTCTCTTTTTTTTTCTGAATTATCCTACAATAAGGATATGACTATGAACGACCGACTACATACGGTATCTGTTGCAATATTTTTTATGCTTGCACTTTTTAAAAAGATTCTAATACACGAGCTACGGTAATTTAAAATAAAATTCTTTTATCTTTATACTACAACTGCCAGTAAAGGGATTTTCAAAAATATGTAAAATACATGTATATGGATAAGTTCGAAATCTAAACATTCTGTATTGATATTTTATGATTTTTCACTAACTGAACCACCCACCATTGGCAAAAAGTGCTTCCGTTCCTGATTTTTCAGACATGAAATCATTGTAATTTATCTTGACTAAAACAGAACGAAATTTCGAAATGGTAGGTTTCAACCAATGAGAAAGCATTTGATTCAGCATTAGAATCGCGGGTTGTCCTTTTTTTTACTGAAAAACTGAACTGAACTGACCTGAGTTTCTGAGTCATCAGAGCGTAAATTTTTCTATCACCCAATCAGAAAAGTTCAGTAAAATCAGTTTCTCAGTAAAAAAAGGGACAACCGAATCGCGAACACAATATGCACTGTCCCAAAATGTTACGGTAAATGTTTAACATATTAGGGCAGTGTGTATATTGCAGTATGAATGTTTTAAAGCATAGCTGTTACGCGAAAAGTATGGTAATGTCTTAGAGAAAATATGCCAAAATCACCAGACTTTTACTGTGACAATGCCGTGCTTTTGGCATAGGTTATTTTTTACAGTGTTGCATAGCACAGTGGGCGGGCATCTAAGTGGACATTAGGCGAAAAAGTCGATTCTCTTATTTACTAAATATAAATACTGCAAAAAATAGCCCTTCCAATTCTCTATCGAATGGTGTATAAATGTCTATTTTGATGTCCACTCCTTCAAGACGAAAAAAGGGCATAAAGGTTGTATGGCGAATATGTAAAAAA